TTAGGTTGGAGGCCATCGGTCTTAGTATGGAGGTCACCGCTCTTAGGTTGGAGGCCATTGGTCTTAGGTTGGAGGCCACCGCTCTGAGAAGCAAAGCACAAGCAAAGCGCACATTTCTGTTCATATTGATGCCCTTTGTTACTACTAGCCTCTTGTTACTACTAGTATGGCACCTGTTACTAGTAGCGTGGCACCTGTTACTACTAGCCTCTTGTTTCTGCTGCCTAGATACTGCAAGAGTGGATGTATGGCAGACATCCGCCCAGCTCTGTGCAAATGGGCCCGTTTGTATCTGTGAGAGCGGTCAGGACTCATCTGGTTTGACGACTGTAGGGTTCCCAAGGTGATCTGAGTGTCCTGTGTTAGACCTCAAATGATCGCATTCACACACAGAGGGTGAAAGTGAGTGGCCTGTGGAACCACTATGGATCAGTAATGACCTTTCTTGTTGTAGATTCTTTTCGTTTGTCTTCTCTTTCTTCTTTTGGACCTTTGGAATTCCGTAGACTACTTTTTCTTTCAACAACAAAATTGCTGAGCTCAAACATGCTGTTGCGGGAGTCGCGAGCGCGGCTCTCTATCGGTGCATCACGTTCTTCCCCGACTGCATTTGGAGGGGGTTGATCTGGATTCTCTGCACTGTCACCAGCAATGCCTGGCCAAATCGCATGGAAGCTCTGTCATACCATGGATTATTAAGTGTTACAGAAACATACAGAAACGACTCAATTGGTTTTGGAACGGCTCAATGCTGCCTGCACTGCCGTCCTCTAGCGCAGGTTGCTCTTCCTCTGCTAAAGTCTTTAGCGCAGGCTGCGAAACGTCATTCTCGAAGCGGCGGATCATGTTTTCCACAGACCGCTGCCATTCCTTATGCTGGTGACACAGTTCGGCGATGCCATCGTAGGACGTGACCAGTTGCTGCCTCACAGCATCCAAGGTCTCAAGCATCGATGTCTTAGAAACTCGTTTCATGGCGACTTGCCGGAGTTTCTGAGGTCCGTCGCTTGATTTGTTATGGCCGCGGTACACCGGGGTAAACTCTTCTTACGAGCTTGAGAAAGACCAGCCAAGCAAATGACCTCATCAGGACCTCATGAGGACATGTTGTGATTCCTTTTCATTCCTTTTCTCTGCCGTAAGCGTCAGCTGGCAGAACACCCGATGTCTGGTGTCCGAATTGTTTCCTGTTTTCTCAGGTTGGACCTGATGTATCAACATGTATCAAAGCAGACGAAGTAAGTGAGACGAAGTAAGCGGCACATAGATGGAACACCCATTCCCCCTGACGACCTCCACCCTTTGTCACGGACGGAGGTTCGTTCAGTGGCTCTTCACCGTTCAAGGAAAAGATCGTCACTTCTACCGAATGCGTGTGCTGAATGAAGTAGAAAGTTTCTCTCACTATGTATGTGCCTAAGTCAATAAGAAAAGAGTCACAGGAACCACAAGGTAAGTCGCGCGGTGTTGAGGCAATTGTTTGGAGATGTTTGGAGAAAAGACTCCCCTTGCAGATTCTCGTGAGTGGGTGCGACATCCCAGGAAAAGCTCACATGCAACAGTTGGCTGCATGGCCCTCCCAGGGGAAGCGATAAGCCAAAAAGGGAAGCAATAAGCATATTGCTGCCTGCATTGCTGTGACATGGACTTGGCAGTCTCGCACAGCCTAAACAGATAAAACTTACGGCCTAGGGATAGGAACCCAAGACACAGTTCTCGCGCATCAAAGGCTAACAATTTCACGCTTTGGCTTTGGGTTCTTGCGTGACTTCTCCGATTCCATCGTGGTGCTCGCGGAGTTGTCGTGCTCCTCCCATATCTTCCTTTGCTTCATGACATGCAAGTCCAGCTTTTGAGGGCTGCGCGCAACCATGAAGAGGAAATCCCTCAAGCCCTCCCTGTGCATCGTTTCCTTTTCCCTCCAGGAACTCTCGGAACGCAACATGGAGCCCTTCGCACGCCCGGTGCCAGTGGCCGGGCACGCCTTGAGCCCAACTTGCACAAGTTTCTGCGGCAAACTCGCATTCCGAGCGTTCTTGTTACTAGTAGCGTGCTTGCTCCTAGTAGTAAGGCCAGGAGTCCCTAGTAGCTACTTGCTCGTAGTAACATAAACTTCAATGCTCAAGTTGAAAATCCGGCTCTATGTTGCTATAAAAGAACGTGCAAGGGTAGATCTGAGTAAGGTTCTCCACATCTTTTTCGCAGCGCGCGAACCTTGAGATTGTATGTGGTGAGTTGCCTCTGAATCATACACCAAAGTGGCTGGTCCTCAGGTTTCCTGGTCCATGCAACACTGGTCAAACGCCTTCACACCTGCTCATCTATCTTGCGCTTAGAGTGAAGCGGCATTAGCCCTGCGAGAAGCGTCTGGTCAGGAGACGATCCAGCTTGGCTCTGGCGGAGCACTTCTCATTGATTCTCTGGGCATCGAAGTATCCGCTTGGCGCGATGTCAAAGAGCCATTCAGGCTTGATCTGGGTACCTCACGCATTTGTGAAGCCCGGGCTATCAAGTATGTCGGTGAGGAAAAACTAGGTGCCCAAAATTCAACTGAAAGCCATGAGAAACCAGGGAAACCCTACTCACACTTCAGTCCGAAGATCCTGTTTTGATGAAGAGCTTTGAGGATAGGCAAAGCTCATGGAAAACAAGCCACTCAGGCCGATGACCCAAAGAGGTTGATGGATGCAGGATCACTTCCTTCAGCTGCATGCTGGAATCAAAGAATCTATATAATAGCAATGGCCTCCAACCTACCAGCGATGGCCTCCACATAAGATATATAGAACCAGCAACAGAACAATGTGGCGAGCCCTTCAAAGGTGCATTTGGCCAAACAGAAATGCCATGCTTGCAGGGGGTTAGGGCCTGTCCTGCCCCTCTCGGAGCATGCTATAAGCTGCCCGCTTCTCGCTCTCCAAGCACGCCACTTGCATAAAGAAACCGGAAACCAAACATCTCCGGATGTTCGGATAGTACTCCGTGTCCTCCCAAGTTCATGACTGGAACCCGTGGCATACCTATCCTTCATCTCAAACACAAGTCCTTCCAACTCCAAATATGCAGAATGAAAGAAATACTTATAGGAACTAATACTCATGTTTCACAGCTCCTGGAAGTCGGTACTAACCATCTGCAAGCCGATGCTCTCCATAATGACTTTCAGACTGTCTCTTGCCACCTCCGCATGTCTCATCGCACGGATCGAGATGAAGTTTCCCGCACAGAAGCGCACGGCATCGTGCCCATCTTGAATTTGCTGCTTGTACGCATGGAACACCTGAAGCAAACAGTAACAGGTGCCACGCTACTAGAAACAGGTGCCTTACTAGTAGTAACAAGTGCCTTACTAGTAGTAACAAGAAGCTATTAGAATTAAATTTAAAATAGAATTCTAATTAGTAGCAAGGCACTTGTTCCTACTAGCAAACAAGAATCCTCCTACAAGTAGGGCCTTTTCGCGCGCGCGCGCGCGCGGGGGTAGGTGTGTGTAATTCAAAGGCATATTATAGGTTGGAGGCCATCGCTAGTAGTGTAATTACTTATAGTTATTCTTGAAACAAATCCAAACGGCATTGCACCGGCACCAAGGAGCATTGAGTAAGGTAAGGTGGTCGCCATCCATATGTGCGAAGCGTGCTTTGGCCTCGTTGGCAGCTCTGAAAGCATCATTTGGTCGCAGCCACACCGGCAGTGAAGAAAGCATCGCGGCTATGGACAAGGCCTCGTTGCCTCACTTGTACATGAACGCCGTGCTGTTCGTGCACATGCTTCTCTTCATCCGTTTCTTCACTCGTGAGCGTTCTTGTTACTAGTAGCTACTTGCTCCTGGTAGTACGGCCAGGAGCCCCCAGTAGCGTCCTTGCTCCTAATAGCGATGCCAGGAGCCCCTAGCAGGTTCTTGTTACTAGAGCGTTCTTGCAAACTGTGTCCTTAAGTGTGATTATATATGCGGTTACACTTTTTGGTGATGGGCGCATTGCGTTCTACGCCACTACGATAATATGCCAGTCGCTACCCAAAACCCTAGGCCCTCAGCCTAAACCCTAAGCTCTTGAAAGTCTTAGTGTATCGGTGTCTCTTGCTGAACGCATTGACAGGGATACACTTTGCAGGCACTATGTCATGAGATATGTCATGTTTGGCTTACAAGCGTCTCAAAGAGTCTCAATGCATCTCTTACATCAAACAGCCATGAGGACACAGGTTGGAGGCCATTGCTATTAGTAACAAGAAGCTACTAGTAGCTCCTGGCCGTACTACTAGGAGCAAGAAGCTACTAGTAACAAGTGCATCGCTTCTAGTAACAAGTGCCTTACTAGTAGTAACAAGAAGCTACTAGTAGCTCCTGGCCGTACTACTAGCTAGTAGGTTGGAGTCTCCTCCTATCGCCAAGAGGCTGCACCGATGCTTGGGCCCTTCGATGAGCATCTTGGCAATTTGAGGATCCACCGGAAGTCGGCTTGCTTGGTTTCCCACCTCCGTGATGTTGCCATTGTTATCGATGCCTCAGCTCAAAGCCTCTTCTCACGAAGGGATGGCAACAAAGACCTAAGACCCTTTGAAGTGTTCATCTTTGTTGTGGTCAAGCCTTGTTGACTAAACCTATTCTTCGAAATGATATTATCATATATTATCATCATATGATCTTCTCACCTGAGTGCTACTGCAAGTTCTGCACACAGCCAAAGCCTTCTGGCTTGTGTTAATAATTCTCTGATCTTACCAGGCCTGGTAAGATAAACACCAAAGCAAACAGTCAGAAAGCGGGTTCTAGTTCCTTGTCGCTAAGGAGCAACCCAAATTGTTCAAAGTCTGCAGTGCTCGCATGAGCGCCTCTGGTGATGGTGGGTCGACGAAGTCAAAATGGACCACATCATCAAAACCCAAGCGCTTCAGCATCAGAACCATCGTAGTGAGATTGGATCGCCTGAGGAAAGGATATGTCAGTGATCTCAGGTGAAGGCATCGGTAAAGGATTGATTTTTTTTGAGTCTTGCTGCTCATCGGGCCCAACAAAAAGAAAGAGTCATTGAAGAGTCTTGCAAGTCTGAGACGAGCGTCTTGATCTCTGGCTGAATCATTGGAGGCCATTCACTCTGAGCTCTTTCTGGATAAAGCCGAAAGCATTTTCCCGGCTTCGTGCGTGCAGCTAAGCGTGCTCGCTGAAGGGCCGAGGTCTTGGAGATCGGCGTGACGATCTGTGCTTCGACCCGGGTCCTCGTTCCGAAGCAGCACGGAGTGACACCATGAGACACCTTCTTTTGACCTGCGTTCGCTATGTGTTCACTTTGTGGTCGGAAAAAAAATGGAATCCAAACACAGCTTTTTACTTACAGCAACCTCAGATGACTCAGATAGGTAACAAACAATCGTTTCCACATGTTTCCACATATCCGAATGCTGTCCTGGGGTTGTAAGCCCTTTGCTTGACTAAACCAGTGTCAATGACGTAGACAATGTGGTCGATGCACAAGGAGGTCTCTGCCACGTTGGTGGCAACCACGACCTTCCGCACTGACTTCACGGCACCCATCCTGGATGGAGCCGGCTCAAAAGCTCGCTGGATGTCCATCAGCGGCAATCCGACATAAATTGGCCGCACATCCAAATGCACGGGAAGGTGGACGGCTTCCTTTCTCAGCATTTGGCAGGCTAAATCAATCTCATCCTCATGCGGGAGGAAAAGGAGAATGTCACCGTCAGGTTCCGTGGTATGAACTTGAATCGTGGTGCGAACCGCTGCTTTCAAGTAATCTCTCTCAGCCTCCTGTGTGTGAAGGACTTCCACTGCAAACGTGCGATGTGGCACTTTTAGGAGCGGTGCACCCTCAAAATGAGATTGCACTTTCCTCACCTCTTCAGAGGATGAAAGGAGCAACAATTTCAACTCAGGTCTTCTCTGCATCACCATCTTCAAGATACCCAGGAGCACATCCATCTCACAGGTACGCTGCTGCACCTGCACTAACTCTTGCAAAATCCACAGCATGTCACATGTTCTCAGCAACTGCTTGGCTCATTACGACCCAAGCAGTACCAAAATGTTCCTTTTATGTCTTGTGGGAATCGCGAAATGCATGCGCATATATAGCAGATATATATATGTATAATGTATATATACATACATATAATATGATGCACATGCACGCACGCACGCGCGACATATACCGCTGCATACGCTGAAATGCACGCACTAAAACCGCGCCTCATCTAGGATGATGACGCTGTAGCGCTCCAGCAGCGGATCCTCCAAGGCCTCTCGGAACAAGGCCTCGGAACAAGGACGCTACTAGGGGCTCCGGGCATCGCTACTAGGAGCATTCTTACTACTAGTGACAAGAAGCTATCAGTAACAAAGGGCATCGCTACTAGGAGCAAAGGGCATCGCTACTGGG